GGGTGGGGCCACAATGGAGGATAAAAGTCTGAAATAGAAATGTATAGGAAGATATCTTCTGATGAAGAACTGCAAAGCCATGATTAGTCATTTTAATATGGAAGCATCCTCAGGTAGTGTAGATTCAAGTTTGTTAAAATGATGACCCCAGGGGATAGGGATGGGCTATAATGGGGGATCGAAAATTTTACATAGGAACATATAGGAAAATATGTTCTTCTCAAGAACTGAAAACCATGTTTAGTCATTTTGATATGGAAGCATCCTCAGGTAGTGTAAATTCAATTTTGTTCAAATGATGACCCCCGAGGGTAGGGTGGGGCCCAATAGGGGGATCGAAAGTTTTACATAAGAACATATAGAAAAAAATTTCTTCTCAAGAACAGAAAAGCTATGTTTAGTCATATTGATATGGAAGCATCCTCAGGTAGTGTAGATTCAAGTTTGTTCAAATGATGACCCCTGAGATAGGGAGGAGCCACAATGGGGGATCAAATTTTTACAAAGGAATATATGGGAAATTTTTTTTAAAAATCATCTCAAGTACAACAAAACCATTTGTTATATTGACATGGAAGCATCATCAGGTAGTTTAAAATTCAAGCGCCCCCCCCCCCCCAAATTTCTTTTCAATACTGAACTGATTTGTGCTTCTGCCTTGCCAATGTGCTCAGGTGAGCGATGTGGCCCATGTTTTTCTTTGTGTGTGTATGTGTGTGTTTCATGAAATTATTTACTTTAATTTATTTTTTTTGTAAAGATTAATAATTTGTATTGTTATTTGACCAAAAAATTCGTAATGATTATACAATGACGACAAACAATACTGACAATTTCATTCCACCACTCAAAAAAACGAAAGTGTGATATAAAAGGCATTTCTAAACTTGACCGAATAACAATTTTTTTTTTTTGTCGCTGACAAATTTACTATTATAACGTCCTCATTAAAAAGATCGATTTCAACTCTCATTCTCAACATAAGCATGAAATTTTGTATATAATATATTTAACCATACATGCATTTGGGGTTACAACATGAACATTTGTTAAACTTACATGTATTCCACTGCAAATCTTCATGTCGATTTTCTCATTCACAAATTTCAAGACGAAACAATTAATACATCTAATTCACATCTTAAAACAAACGTTGATGTATCTATTGCAAAGAATTATAATTTTTTATTGTTGAAATTAATTCCCGTAACGAATAACTTCCGTTAAGAATTCCCCCCCCCCCCCCCCGAAAATAATTAATGCTAAATTCGTTCCAGATTTCAAAAGTCTATATTAGTATTTGTTTTTATACACAACGACAGAAAACGAAAATATGCCAATTTCATGTTTATTTTAATAATTAAAAGCATTATAACTTAATTCCGCAACACTGCCTTTATTAGGACCGCAGCTCATCCGCAGGTACAAATAAATAGAAATTGTTGTAAAATGTTAACGATACCATATTTGTCGATAATTCTTTTTTTTTTCCAAAACGCACTGAAATATTCTTGATAAAATTATGGTGCTAAAGTATATATTTGAAGTCACTATTTTTGAATTCATGTTGTATATCCTTATTTTGTCCTTGTTTCGTCTGAGTTGAGATTGCTTTTAAAATGCTTTAACTGCCAATGACACAACGGCATTCTTTTTTTCTTAGACTTTCACCTCATTTTGCAGCAAAATCTGCAGAAATCATCCTGGATTAGCACGTAAGAGGAATTTAGGGCATAAGTCATGAAAGAGAGAGTTTACGTCCTCATTTTCTGAGAACATCAAAACATTCACTAGTTAATTTTCTGCGTTTTTAAGAAAATCATTTTTCTTGTGCACGGAAATAATTTTTTGCGGTCGTTTTTATGCTTTGTATCAATCTTAATTTTTGTCATTGTATATAAAGTACATGCAGACAAAGTTCGCAGAATAAATAATTTTTATTGGGCATGTTAATTTTACTAAAATATTGCCCCCCAAAGTATGTAAGTTATATATTGTACATAATAAATATTGTACATGTATTTGTTTGACAGTTTATATACTCTTCTTAAAAGAACGACCCGTACAGTTTTGAAAATTCGCACACCGTTTGTCCAAAAGGTTTTTTTTTTTCTTGTGAAAAAAAGTCATTATCTAAAAGTGAAAGCTGAATAGTTAATAAATTACAATAATGCATAAAATTGACAGCTATTGCATCATATACCACGTGCCGTAAATTCACACCCGAGTTCTCTGCAGGTGTTCATTCATTCATTCATTTATTCTCTCAAAAACCATATGAATGGTACAAGAGGTACATATATACATATTTACAATAATTATGGACGAGCAGAGATTACAGGAGGACAGACAGTGTCAAAAATTTTGATGATAAATATACACAATTTTCTTAAGAATGCTGGGTCAGTATTTGTCATTAAATTACAGAATTTTATAATATTTGGATGTACATAGTATTTCTTTAACAGAAAATCGAATATTACAAAATACATTACATTCCAGTAAGTAATGAAATTCGTCTCCAATTTGATTATTATTACATAAATAGCACACTCTTTCATTTCTTTCAACATTATTCCATCTACCCACCTCTATGGGAAGACGATGGTTACTTGTTCTGAATTCTGAAAAGATATTTCTAAATTTTCTTGGTAAAATAGTTAAGTATTTTTCACATTCAAACTTTGTTTTAAAAATTCTATATGTAATACCTTTACTGGAATTATTCATATCACTATACCATTTTTGTAAAAATTGGTCTTTAAGCTTTTGGTTTATTGCAGTCGCAATCCATTTAACACTATGAAAATTTTGATCATTCCAAACATTACATAGTCCTGCAGTGTTAAGAATATTCTGTATGCAAGATATCCATGGATTATTGATTCCATTTTTGGTATATTTATTATAAAGGTGTAAATAAATAATTCTACAAATCTTATTCTCATTTCCATGTAACAGTTGTGCAACACGTACATGCAAGGATTCTAGTTAATTGAGTTGTTAGTGAATAAATTAATTTTAATCTATCGCAGATAATATCGTAATAAAAATATTATACTACCATTTATGATTTATTCTTAGTAGGAAGCGTTGCGGGACATCGTGAATGCATGGCGGTACCTCCACGTGAAACGGTCTGGGAAAACACAAGAAATATATAAGGAAATTTTTGAAGGATTTCAATTTTTTCATGTTTGATTTCAATATAAAGTATAGAATTGGTGGGAAAAAAGAAAAATAAATAAATAAAATAAAATAAATAAATAAAAAAAACCCGGCATAGAATAACTTCGTGATAAATAATGTTTAAGAACTGTTCGACAAAATTTTATCACATTTTTTCTGAGTATCTGATATTCTTAAGCTTGAAAAGCATCCACATTCAGAATATTTTTTTCAATGATATTTTTAAAAAAAACAACAACAAAATAATGCTACACAACTGAGGAAAAAAAAGGCTACCCTTTTTCGTAAAATGATTAAATATCCGAAGCTTGTTGTTCAAGTGTGCGCTTGCCACAAACTGACATCGACTCCCAGTGCCTGAATCAAATTTTCAGTTTTTTGCATGACGTTTTCATCTTCAGTGGCAGGGATGCCACTAGCTGTGATAGTAATCTCATTGTTATTTAGCGGATCTAACGAGTGTCCGGTGATTCCAAGGTGATTGCTGTTATCCCCTGTTACATGTTTTTCTAAATTGTCCAGACGTGATTGTATGGATTGTATAGAAGTGAGAATTTGATCAGTACGATTTGTCTCTCTAGCAATATCTAAAGATATCTCATCCTTCAATGATCGAATCTTTTTTTCAACATTTTCCATCAAATCAGTTTTTAATTTGTCTAACTTGGACTCAAACATACGCTTCATACTTTCCTGATTATTCTTTAAATCAAGGACTACAGTTAATAGTGTATCTAGTTTTCCTGACACAGAGGCAGAGGTTGTTTGGTTTGACGCCATATCTATATTATCCAGTGACTTGTCATGGAAAGTGAATAAATCGAATACACTATTAACTAATTCACTGTCAGTTTCACTTCTAGTACTATCATTAAGTTCCTCTGTAGACGCGTATAAAATAGAATTCGCTTGATTCAAGTAACTGTTGTAGTAAAGTTATTATAGTACCTTAATAAATAAAGTACACATACTTAAGTAATTATAGTACTCACGTAACTGTAGCAGCAGTTATTTTAGTACCTTATTAAATGAAGTACACATACTTAAGTAATTATAGTACTGAAGCTACTGAAGTAATAAACTAATTAAAGAACCCTACAATGCAAACACAGTACTTGAGTAATTATAGTACTCTAGTAAATGTAGTACTTAAGGAATTGTAGTACTTACAAAGGTAAGTAATCATAGTACTCGTGTAGTTATAGTGCTTAAAGTAATTGTCGTGATCAACTAATTGTAGTATTGAAGGAATTGACTATTGTAGTACTGAAGTTATCAAAGTACTTATAATAATTAGAGTATTTTAGTAATATGATGTAAATATAATTATAATGTAAAAATTGAAACTATAGTAAATTGAGTTAAATTGAGTACTCAAGTAACTATTTTCTTTGCGATAACAAGAATCTCAGAATAATTAAAGTAAACCCTTGCAAATTTTATATTTTCTCACTTTATTTGAGCTGAAGAGAATGAAGTTCCATAGTATTTCCTGATCTCATCATTTTATGCAATTCAATTATACTTATATTTCCTTTTAGCAAACGTGTGAGGTCGATAAAAAGTCAGGGATAGTTTCAAGTCAATACAGGTAAAAATCGGGAATAGTTTCAAGTCAATACAAGTAAAGTGGGAATAGTTTTTACTTATTACAGGTAAAAGTCGGGGATAGTTTCAAGTCAATACAGTAAAATCGGGGATAGTTTCAAGTAAATACAGTAAAAATCTGGGATCGCTTAAAGTTAATAAAGGTTGAACCGGGGATAGTTCCAAGTCGATACAGGTAAAAATCGGGAATAGTTTCAAGTCAATACAGGTAAAAGTCTCTAGGCTATTTTTATTCAGAATTTAATACTTCTCTTTCAAATTTTTGTTAAAAGACAATTTGACTGACTTCATATGTACACAAACAAACAGAACTGTAATATTTTCATGTATTTTTTGTAGAGTGAACAAAATTCTGAGAAATTCTGAGGAGTTTCAGCAAGCATTCTCGTGTCCAACAGGTTCTCCAATGAACGCAGACCGAAAATGTCAGCTTCTATCTGGCCTAGGGAAGAATTTGTCTTAATAATGGAAACACAGTAACACCGAGGAGAAGACGACCTGTTTGAAAGCAGGCGTTTTGGATAAGATGACAACAAAACTGAGAACATTGAAAAAAGTATACATTTCAGTGCAACATGAATGTTCTGTCAGAGACCAAAATGGTAATTTTTTTTTTTGAAAAAAAGAAGGGCAATATTTTCATTATCAGCGAGTCAAAACAATAGAACACGGCACCATTTCTACAGGCACCACAAAACAAAAAAATCTAGCTGTGCAAGTAAAGATTTCTTAAATTTGGGGATATTTTTGGATATTTCCAAAAATGGTCCGTAGAAAGGCCTGGAATGTACTGAATAATGGACATGAAAAAAAGTATAAAGTAGACGATACATATATTAAAAAACATTCAGCCTCCATTCATCAAATTGTTCTACCTCATTACGTAGCTGTGCAAAAAATGTTAGGCAGCGTCAATGATATATCATCAAATTCGCGCCAGTACATATAGTTAGTATTTGTACATTAAATATGTTTGTTTTGGATATTAAATTATCATGGCGATGAATTTGTTTTCTGTTTGTTTTATATCAATCAATGCTCAACAACGTGCAGTAAGTGCAAACAGCTTCCATGTTACCTGTACATGTTTCACAAAAAGTTAAGATAAATATATTGTGCCCATAAGGGAATGGTAATGTGCTACTTTCAGGTGCGGTAATACTCAATATAATTTTATTAAGACTTCTAGCACCATACAAGTAAATGCTGATATTGATTGTTTTTCAGGAATTGAATAACTGGGACATTTTTTATGTTTATTTATTAAAATATTATCAAGATGTGCAAAAGCAGAATTTTCTTAGTTTGTGGACATCAATACAGACAGATTGCTTGCCATACGCATTGATTCTACTGATATCACTAATCATTTTATAGGAATGGTCAACTTCATCAAACTGCATAGTGGCCTCAAACACGGCGTCCCCTGGAACAGTGCTGAATGTTAGCTGATAATTCACTTGAGCTTTAGATCGGTTTCCATATTTCACAAACCTATTGATGACGTCATTTTTACTCTCTTGAAATCTTAGCACTTTTTCTGACGGAAGTAATTTAACTGCAGTTTTGATTTTTCCTAATTTAAGAAATGCACATTTATTAGACACTTCAATAAGTTGACTGTTTATGTTTTTAATCATATAACTGGCAATTTTTTGTACTATTTCATTGGTGGGAGATAGCGTTTGAAATTCTGCGCATGTGCACCAGTGAGGAAGTATTCCTGCGTCCTCACATCCTCTGTCTTCCGGTATTTCCTTAAATAAACTAATTCCTCTATTTTTAAACCCCTTTCTAAACGGAATCGATTTGTTAAAATATAGGATATCAGAGAGGGTTTCATAAATGTCGAATGGTGTCGTCAGTCTGTGGCTATTTGTCCTTAGATTGTCTGCATACACGGGATATTTTGCCAGAAACCATTGTGGGAAAACAAAGAAAAGAAAAGGCAGTCGTTCCTCCATTTTTCCGATGTACGACTCACGAAGTTTGCCGAATCGCATCCCATGATCACTGTACAAAATTAACACTGTGTTGTTCAGTTGTTCGTTTTCTCGCAGTTTCTTGAGAAAATTTAAATATGGAATATCTGCATATCCAGCACTTTGGAGAAAGTCGTGAGTTAAACCTGTGATAAACGAAAATGCAAAATGTGGTTCGTATTTGTATTTATCCATAAAGTTATAGATGTAACTGAGGATTATATCAGTCTCTAAACGGTCTGTTACGCAGTTATGGCTGTCATACCAGACACTTTTATCTGTTGTCATAGCCAATGAGAAGTGTCGGTTGAAGTAATCTGCTGGCGACCGATGAAAACCAGATTTTAGATAATCAAAGATAGCGATCTCGGGTGCATCTTCTGCGTAAAGAGTCCTATACCCTTTTGAAGCGAATTGTTTCCAAATGAAATCGTATTTATCAAATGGAATTTTACTCATGCTTTCGTTCCATGGTACCTCTTCTAAGAATTTTCCCATCGTCATTGGAACAATATTCACGAATGTATTGTCTGCAACCTTATTATAACCTGTCATTTCAAAGGCACCGAGTTCCTCCATTAAAAATGTGCGCATGCGTTTCAGATATCTCTGTGAATTTAGCTTTGAGATTGAATCAACGCCAATCATGACAACATTAAGCGTCTCCTTCACGTACGGACTGTTCTTATGTTTAACAAACGCAAGTGAACACCTTTCTTCCACATCAGGTTTCGGTAAGATGAATTGATGAAAATTTGTATAAATTTTTCCATGGTTGCGATTGTAGCACATAACTCTGATAAATTCATGTTTCATTTCAACTGTACCATTGATTTCATCACTGATTTCCAAATATGTAAAATAATTGTTGTCATGGTTATCTGGCGGTCTATAAATCGGTTGATATCTACAGTAACCAAATTCTTCACTCCATCTGGAATGGCTGACTGCTGTCCAGTTGATCTGAAGTTTGGTTCCGTTTTCGAATGTTAGCGATAGCTTTTTGTTACACAAAATCGGGTTTTGTTGAGGCTTGATAAAATGCACTACTGAAGGGTCATATGGATCCAGGTTAGGGATTTTACAAGCCGGGGTGTCCACAAGGTAAGGCGTTCTGGCGTGCCAAGACCTTGGCATTTCGGAGCTGATTGCACGTCGGTGAAAGGTTGTGTTGATAAACTCGATGGTGGACAAGACAGCAATAGTGGAGAGAATAGTGACCGCCACCTTAAGGTACAAAACAAAGGAACAGCGGGAAAACATCCTGTAATGACAACAGTAAGATATAAAGTCACAACTTCATGTACAACAGTAAGATCTTAAGTCACAACTTTACGTACAACAGTAAGATAAAAAATCACAACTTAATGTACAACAGTAAGATTTAAGTCACAACTTTATGTACAACAATAAGATATAAAGTCACAACTTCATATACAACTTCATGTACAACAGAAAGATATAAAGTCACAATTTCATGTACAACAGTAAGATATAAAGTCACAACTTCATATACATCAGTAAGATATAAAGTCACAACTTCATATACAACAGTAAGATTTAAAGTCACAACTTTACGTACAACAGTAAGATATAAAGTCACAATTTCATGTACAATACTAAGATCTAAAGTCACAACTTCATATACAACTTCATGTACAACAGTGAGATATAAAGTCACAATTTCATGTACAACAGTAAGATATAAAGTCACAACTCCATATACATCAGTAAGATATAAAGTCACAACTTCATATACAACTTCATGTACAACAGTGAGATATAAAGTCACAATTTCATGTACAACAGTAAGATTTAAATACACAACTTCATGTACAACAGTAAGATATAAAGTCACAATTTCATGAACAACAGTAAGATATAAAGTCACAACTTCATGTACAACAGTAAGATCTAAAGTCACAATTTCATGTACAACAGTAAGATATAAAGTCACAATTTCATGTACAACACTAAGATCTAAAGTCACAACTTCATATACAACAGTAAGATATAAAGTCACAACTTCATGTACATCAGTAAGATATAAAATCACAACTTCATATACATCAGTAAGATATAAAGTCACAACTTCATGTACAACAGTAAGATTTAAAGTCACAACTTTACGTACAACAGTAAAATATAAAGTCACAACTTCATGTACATCAGTAAGATATAAAATCACAACTTCATAAACATCAGTAAGATATAAAGTCACAACTTCATGTACAACAGTAAGATTTAAAGTCACAACTTTACGTACAACAGTAAGATATAAAGTCACAACTTCATGTACAACAGTAAGATATAGAGTCACAACTTCATGTACAACAGTAAGATATAAAGTCACAACTTCATTTACAACAGTAAGATATAAAGTCACAATTTCATGTACAACAGTAAGATATAGAGTCACAACTTCATATACAACAGTAAGATATAAAGTCACAACTTCATGTACATCAGTAAGATATAAAATCACAACTTCATATACATCAGTAAGATATAAAGTCACAACTTCATGTACAACAGTAAGATTTAAAGTCACAACTTTACGTACAACAGTAAGATATAAAGTCACAACTTCATGTACAACAGTAAGATATAAAGTCACAATTTCATGTACAACAGTAAGATATAAAGTCACAATTTCATGTACAATACTAAGATCTAAAGTCACAACTTCATATACAACTTCATGTACAACAGTAAGATATAAAGTCACAACTTCATGTACAACAGTAAGATCTAAAGTCACAATTTCATGAACAACAGTAAGATATAAAGTCACAATTTCATGTACAACACTAAGATCTAAAGTCACAACTTCATATACAACAGTAAGATATAAAGTCACAACTTCATGTACATCAGTAAGATATAAAATCACAACTTCATATACATCAGTAAGATATAAAGTCACAACTTCATGTACAACAGTAAGATTTAAAGTCACAACTTTACGTACAACAGTAAAATATAAAGTCACAACTTCATGTACATCAGTAAGATATAAAATCACAACTTCATATACATCAGTAAGATATAAAGTCACAACTTCATGTACAACAGTAAGATTTAAAGTCACAACTTTACGTACAACAGTAAGATATAAAGTCACAACTTCATGTACAACAGTAAGATATAGAGTCACAACTTCATGTAAAACAGTAAGATATAAAGTCACAACTTCATGTACAACAGTAAGATATAAAGTCACAATTTCATGTACAACAGTAAGATATAGAGTCACAACTTCATATACAACAGTAAGATATAAAGTCACAACTTCATGTACATCAGTAAGATATAAAATCACAACTTCATATACATCAGTAAGATATAAAGTCACAACTTCATGTACAACAGTAAGATATAAAGTCACAATTTCATGAACAACAGTAAGATATAAAGTCACAACTTCATGTACAACAGTAAGATCTAAAGGCACAATTTCATGTACAACAGTTAGATATAAAGTCACAATTTCATGTACAACACTAAGATCTAAAGTCACAACTTCATATACAACTTCAAGTACAACAGTAAGATCTAAAGTCACAATTTCATGAACAACAGTAAGATATAAAGTCACAACTTCATGTACAACAGTAAGATCTAAAGTCACAATTTCATGTACAACACTAAGATCTAAAGTCACAATTTCATGTACAACAGTGAGATATAAAGTCACAACTTCATGTACAACAGTGAGATCTAAAGTCACAAGTTCATGTACAACAGTAAGATATAAAATCACAACTTCAAGTACAAGAGTAAGATATAAAGTCACAACTTCATTTATAACAGTAAGATATAAAGTCACAACTTCATGTACAACAGTAAGATTTAAAGTCACAACTTTACGTACAACAGTAAGATCTTAAGTCACAATTTCATGTACAACAGTAAGATATAAAGTCACAACTTCATGTACAACAGTAAGATTTAAAGTCACAACTTCATGTACAACAGTAAGATATAAAGTCACAATTTCATGTACAACACTAAGATCTAAAGTCACAATTTCATGTACAACAGTAAGATATAAAGTCACAACTTCATATACATCAGTAAGATATAAAGTCACAACTTCATATACAACAGTAAGATTTAAAGTCACAACTCTACGTACAAAAGTAAGATATAAAGTCACAACTTTACGTACAAAAGTAAGATATAAAGTCACAATTTCATGTACAACAGTGAGATCTAAAGTCACAACTTCATATACAACTTCATGTACAACAGTAAGATATAAAGTCACAATTTCATGAACAACAGTAAGATATAAAGTCACAACTTCATGTACAACAGTAAGAACTTAAGTCACAATTTCATGTACAACAGTAAGATATAAAGTCACAATTTCATGTACAACACTAAGATCTAAAGTCACAACTTCATATACAACTTCATGTACAACAGTGAGATATAAAGTCACAATTTCATGTACAACAGTAAGATATAAAGTCACAACTTCATTTACAACAGTAAGATATAAAGTCACAACTTCATTTACAACAGTAAGATATAAAGTCACAACTTCATATACAACAGTAAGATATAAAGTCACAACTTCGTGTACAACAACCCATAGTTTGAATGTCCATATTGTGGCAATGCAACCAATTACTAAATTGGTCTTTATTGATCCGTAAAAGATCTTCGTTTCTCCTATGTGGAATAGTATAATATTTTTATAATTATGTAGAAATTGGATGAAAATGTTGCAGATAATGCACATGTATATTCAGGGTTCAGTAGCCTACATAATGTATGATTAAATAGAAATTATTTAAATCAATTATTTATCAATGCGGCCTTACTCTCAACATTTTCAAGATTTTATCCATGTAAAAAAATGAGAAATACGACAAACGTGTAGAAACTTAACTTGGAAAACATTTAATATAGAGGGCAAAAAGCATCACTACAGTCATATTCAAATACATGTACATGTATTAATTAAGTAAATCATTTTGCAAAACATTCAATATGATTGAGAAAAAGTGCTGAGAAATAGTGTTCCATTTTTATGCATGGGTCAATATTTAATTAGAGTACTATGTATTAACATGTCATTGATTAATATGATTAACAATGCTCTGTCTATTGTAGCTATTGTATCTTCCCTCGGTAATTTAATTTCTGGTCAAAGACACAACGACATCGATGCCGAATTTCATTTCAAAACTGTTTGCATTTTAACTGATGTAAATATTACCCTTTTGTTCTAATAACTGTTGGTGACAGTTTTGATATTTTCTAGCATAAATTTTTGCAGATATTTACCAAATGGATACAGTTTCAGCTGCACGTGTTAGTAATGGAAGGTGAGACTATGGAGGTGATTGTCACAGGGTCTTACTTCTGGCTCGGGGGCCATAAAACTTAGTCGCGCTCACTTTCGATCTCAGTCTCACTTTTCCACTATTAATTCCTTTTGTAAAAGTGAGACTGGGATCAAAAGTGAGCTCATCTAAGTTTTATGCCCCCAGAGCCTGGACATGTTAATCGAGAGGGGGGTCATTGAAGAGAAAATTTGACATCGTGAAAGTGAAAATATGTCTTTGGAATTCCAGGCTAGTTATTTATTTATTTATTGCAGCCCGGAGGACCGGGCTGCTCTATACATATAAGTTTAAGTGTTGGTATATGGAGATTGAGGTGGGAGAAGTTATTCAGAATTAAAGGTTTTCTAAACATTAAAAAGATTGTTAATCAGCATGTCCTTTCCCTTTATAAATTACGAGATACACAATATATTTACTTCCATAAAGTGAATCTGTAAAAATATATATGTTTTTCATATTTAATATATAAAGTTGCTTATCATTTACTATCGAAAAAAACGACAGGTCCCTTTTTTTAGAACATTGAATTTTACTTATCGCATAAAAACGTAAAAAAGTACTTTACACAGTTCGTGTTTTATATTCTTTAAGTGAAAGATATTTTTGAAAATAGGTGATGCATGTGTCTGGTTTCAAATTATATTTTATGCAGCCAACATTTACTTGAGGAATTGATAAAGTTTAAAAGGATATCGTTTTTGTTCGATTTTCATCCGACTATAAGTTTTCAAAATATTCTCGACTATCGTCTCCATCATTTAGACGCTTGCCTTTTTCACACATATCGAAGCGGTTTGATGATCAAGACTCATTTCCATTGTTTACTTTATTTATTTCCCGGGCGACAATTAATGGTTACATCAATGTTTTCTTGTTTATTTTCTGAAGGGGGTATATAAAAATTTAAAAATCATTAATCTACTTGTGTAAGGAGTGTGCCATGTATCAAAAAGAATAGGCAGAGAGAGAGGGGGAGCAGATTGTTTGTACATTATGAACTGTCCTCTTTATAAATGTATAAATTAAAACTGTACCAGGGTATACTTGGTGGTTTGCCAGTACTGTCCATGCTTTCAGTAAATCAATAAAGATACATACCGGTACATAGCATTACATACATTTCTTATTAATATAAAATATAGAGCGGTCTTGAATAGATCATGCACAATAAGTACACTTAAAAGAGATTTAAGAGCTACATGGTAATTTATTATGTACATATGAAATGTATCACTTGTATATTTAAAAAATGGACCATTTCTTAGCCATTACATGTACATCTGACACGGATTATTTTGCATTTTTTTCTCCACGTGACTTCTTTCCTATGAATAAACACCGGGTGTAGACGGCCCCCTGTTGTGATGCGAGTATATCTGGTATAATTTGAGAATTTCAGATTTATTTGGATTATACTCTGTACAGCGGATTAACCATAGGGGGTCAATCAGCTTCCCTAGCCAAAGTTCTCGTGACATATGTATGTACACAGTACACAACAAACAATTCAGAAAGTACATGACTAATAATGTTCCAGGAATTTCTTTAACAGTGTTTAAACGGTTTAAAAATTCATAGTTTAGTTTGATATCGGAATATACGTGTATTTGCAATTTTTGGTTAAATTGGTTAGGCTATCGTCACCTTGTATTCATGGTATTGTTCCAAACTAGCAGAACATATATTATTTCTTTAATGGTTCGCACTTAAGTTGACATCGTAATTGATTATATTTAGGAAAGTTTAAGATTATAGTTCAGTGGAGTACTTTGGTCTATACAAGAACTTGGAAACAGCATTAAGTAAACGTATTCTATTGTTTACATGTAAGATGTTAGCATCATACATCTTGGCGATGGCAAAGTTCTGCAAACTATTCACTTTGAGTTATTTACATGTATCATTGGGTGATTTATAAACATTTAGAACTTGAAAAGAATAAAAATCTCACCTTCTAGACGGTATTGACAGCAATCAACACTGTAACTTTGAACGTGTGTTAAGTTTTTGAAACTGTTGATGATACCGAGTCTCGCACTGCTTTATCTACCGAGTGTGTTTCTGTGCTTGTGTCTGGCTGACTCAGCGGGGCGCGGATCTCAGATTTCATCTTGTGTGAATATGCTGATGTAATGTATGTAATTAATGTATACAAACTTACAGGCATACAAACTTTAATCTTGTACAGTTTTAATCAATATACACCCTTCAATAAGGGCTTTATGTAGCCATGCGCCGTCGCAAGCTACAGATTTTCTCTAGATGCAATAGCGGATTAAAAATCTTACGACGATAATAGTGCAACATGTGCATGCTAATTTCCAGTTATTAAATTCGGTCTTAAATGATATTCTTTCGTAGCAATAGAGGATTTTAAAAAGCTTAAGGTGATAATAGTGCAACATAAGCCATTTTAGTTAGGCATTTATTAAACTCGTCTTTAGAGTGGTATATTTATTAATTTATACACTTTAATTGCTTATTTTTAAAGCAACAGGTGTGGACACAAACACAGTGGTTTTTGAACTTAAAAAGTGTCCTTTCAAACACAAAGAAAATACATGTTCAAATATATACAGACGCATTAGATACAATAATTAAAAACAATTTACAAAATTTGTCATATTTCTTATATTGTACAATAAACCAATTAAATATATATGATATGAATAAATAGTTTCGAATAGAATGGGGTTTATATTCTACTTAATGAAATGGTCTGCAAGGGGCAAAATTAATTATATAGAATAGTGCATTTCTTTGATTAGAAAATTTGCATACTAATTTTTCGAAATATCTATTTAATATCTATTTGATGTTTATGTGTTCTTTTATTCCTTGTATCAACAGATACATCAGAGAAACATAATTACATGCATGTAATTACATATAGTATATACATAATTGACATGGCTAAAGAAGAGAATATATATAATATATATTACAATATATTCACACAATTTAAAATGACATTGAGATTAAATGTTTACATATATATATATATATATATATATATATATATATATATATATATATATATATATATATATATATATATATATATATATATATATATATATATATATATAATATACATATATATTGTTGTGACATAGTAAATCACTCTTAAAAAATTAATATTATACATGTAGTTCTAATTTACTTTCCCGTATATGGCTTGCTTCTCTTAAAAAATTTCCAAGACCCCTTAATTCCTTTACATTTCGAGCGCTAAATAGTTGTATTAATTTATATACACTACTATTTTGATAATAATATCTTTTAATATATTTCTTTCTTATATTTTCATATGTTGGGCACTGTAAAATAAAGTGAAATTCATCTTCTATTTCATCCTGATTACATAATATGCATTTTCTATCATTTCTACTAGTATTCGTGTATCTACCCCTTTCAATATATAAATTGTGATCAGACATCCTAAATTTTGAAATTATTTCTCGATTTTTAACACTTAAAGGCTTGTTAAGGTAATATTGAAGGCAATGTGTTTCTGTAAGATATTTGTATAAATTAGCTTTGGGCATAATGTTAATTTCTGCTCTTATTTCCTGAATGTAAATATCTTTCATTCTTTGTTCAATAAGTTTAAATGCATATTTTTCATCATAATATGTATGCATCAAGAAGTTTAATCCTAATTTATCTAGTTCTGTTTTAATGTTTACAATCCATTCATCATTTTCCTGTACCATTTCTTCATAACACGTCTTCAGAATACAATTTTCTGTTTTTCTCAGCTTTAACCAATATTTCATAATTTTTATTTTTCTTAAAATATGGCAGGGAAATCTACCTAGTTCAAGATAAAGAAGCTTATTACTAGCATTCTTTTTTAACCCTAAAATTTTTTTACAGAACAGTACACGAACTTTTTCTATATCAATTCCTTTGTTAAAACCCCATACTTCGGAAGCATACGAAAGTATACTATTGACGTAAGTGTCGAATACGGAGCATTTTGTTTGAGTATTAAAGTAATAATCATAAAGTTTACTTTGAACACTAAAAAGAGCTTTTCTCCCCTGTTCTGCCAGCTTCTGTTGTGCTTTAGTAAATTTACCGTTATAATTTAATAATAATCCAAGATAATTAAACTCATTTACTATTTCTAATTCATTTTTGTCATAGAACCACTTCTCATTTTCTTTTATTTTTCCTCCATTTCTAAAAACCATTATTTTAGTTTTATCTGTATTTACAGTAAGATTCCATTTCTTACAATAATTGTGCAAAGAGTTAAGTATTTCTTGTAAAGCTTCGGGTGTTTCTGCTAATATAACAGTGTCATCAGCATACATAATAAGGAATATATTAATTAGATTAATTTCAATCGATGGACAGTTCTCGCTCAACAAATGCATTTCAAAATCGTTTACATAAAAAGAGTATAATATTGGGGATAAAATTTCACCTTGAAAGAGTCCAACTTGACTTCCAAAATATTCGGAAAGGACACCATCATATTTTACGCACGATTTGATATTTTCGTAAAGAGATTTAATTATCTTCAATAATTTACCATGTATTCCAAGCTTACATAACTTAGCCCATAATTTACTCCTATTAACAAAATCAAATGCTTTTTTATAGTCTATGAAACAGCAGTATAATCTCCTACCCTTCTTACGTAGAAACTTATTTACCAATGATTGTAATACAAAAATTGCATCAACAGTCCCATAACCATGTCTAAAGCCAAATTGGGCATCTGTTATGACAGATATATCTTTATCCCACTTCAGTAGTCGTTGATTTAGAATAGAAGTGAAAAGTTTACCCATACAACTAACCAAAGAAATACCCCTATAATTGTTTGTATCATTAACGTCTCCCTTTTTATATACTGGTACAATTATAGCCTTTGACCAAGATTGTGGGAAAAACCCAGACATAAATATAGCATTAAACGTTTTATGTAAAACCGGTATGAGTGTCTCACTACAGTCTATAAATAGTTCATTTAGCATGAAATCCTCACTACAACTCTTATTTCTTTTTAAATCTTCTATACAATGTCTAATTTCCTCAACATAAATTTCATAATCCAATTCATCAAATACAGGTTCAATAAAATTATCAGCATCTGGGTTATATTGATCTTCCTCCGAGTTTGTATTCTGAGTTAGATTCCTAAAATGGTTATAAAAATTTTCCAACCCTATTTCAGTTGCAGGACATTTGATTTTCCTTTTTGAAAAATGTTTGTAGAATTTTCGTGGATTGGTTTTTCTTAACGATTGTATCATATTACCTTCTTGACATTTATAAGCTCTTTTAAGTTTTCTTTCGAGTGTTTTATAAATTGATTTTACCTGCAATAGTTTGTTTCTGTTTTCCGTTGATTTATTTACATTAAATATATGCAAAGCGTTTTTATAGTCCAAATATTTCTTTTTACATACATCACTAAACCAAGGTTTATCATCTCTTCTAGATTTATGCTTATTTTGTGAATTTTCACTTGTATATTGCTCCCGTTTTGTTTGACATTTTGGTAAAACAATTTCATTTATAACATTACACAGATTATTAACACAATTGTCTACTTCTTGTTGGTCTTTTAACTGACAATTTACTATGTTAATTAATGTTTCTGCATTATTACTTAGATCATAATTTATACTGTCTTTTTCGTCCTCGTTCCATCTTATATTTTCCCACTCTACTCTAAAGTGATTTGTTGACATGTCGTTAGAAGAATATGTACTTTCATGAAGATTATTGCAATTGATTTTGAAAAATAGAGGCGAATGATCAGATAAAGTATTAAATATTCCAGAAGAAAATTCTAAGATATACTGCATAGTTTCCTGTCGACATATAAGGTAGTCAATTAAACTGACTCCATTGGCACCGTAGAAAGTTATACTTCCCTTAGAATCTCCGGAATGCCTACCATTTACAATTCGGAAACCTGTGGATTTACATAAATTCAAAAACTTTCTACCGTGCTGGTTTATATAACTGTCCTGACTTTTCCTATTAATATTACATATATCTGAAGTATATGATACCAAATGTTGTATTGCATCAGATACATGTTCAGAAAGATTATCATTTACAATAAAGTCTTCCTTTAGCCCACACCTAGCATTGAGATCGCCTGACAAAAATACACATCCAAGTGATGTGTATTTACTAATTAGATCATACATACATTGAAATAAATCTATATCTTCTTTACGATAAAAAACACTACCCTCAGGTGGTATATAACAGAAAAACAGAAAAATTGGTCTATTTTCAATTTTACAATGTGTAAGTTGTATAACCAAAATGGTATCTAAAAAATTTTCTTCCACACTTACATATTTATGTATTTCTTGCTTCATAAAAATTACTAATCCTCCTCCTTTACATTTCTTCCTTGGAAAAATTAAAGACTCATACCCAGATATCTTGATTTCTTCACTGCTGACATCCGTTATCCAACACTCAGATAAGCATGCTATATCTACACTATTGATAATAGATAAAAAATCACTATCCTTCTGTTTAACTCTAAGTCCCTTTCCAATGTTCCATGATAACACATTAAGTGTCCCGGGGCCGCGGCTATTAGTTGCGCTGTTGTCTGTGTTCGATCCCGCGACCGCGTGATCCTATTTACTCTGACGGCTTCCAGCTGTAAGCTCGCGTTCAGTCCTTGCCTCCCTCGTAACGTCCATCGGTTGGACTTCCTCGGTGTGTTCTTCCATCCACTGATCATCACTCGGATCATAGAGTACACCGTCAACAAAAAGACGATCGCGTACAAGTTTCACTCGAGATCCATCGTTCCAGAATTTATTCATGATTGGAATAAGAGTGCGTCGCCTTTCAGCCATTGATGCTGGGTACTGCCTGTAGACTCGGAACGGCGTCCCTCTTAGAAATGATGCTCGCTGTAAACAGAGATCAAGATCCTCCTGATATATAAATCTAGCGACCACCGGACGATTTTTTCCTCTGTAGTTCCGTCCAAATCTATGCACATTTGCAAACTGAACATCGTGCTGTATGTTTAATTCATTTGCTAGAAAACATCTAAGCTTGTAGTAAATATCTTCATCTCTACCTTCACCTCCCAGGTTTTCAAAAATCAAGTTCATCTTCATTGATCGATACTGGAGATCCACTAATCGCTCTTCCATTTCCTTCTCGTCACGTCTCATTTGATCCAAATTTTTGGACATGTTTTCAATCATGTTTGAGTGCCGCATTGTTTCTTTTTTTTCTTTTGTGGCGTTTTCCATGACCTTTGCATTTAATTCTTTTATATTTGTTATATGTTTTTGCAGACCCAGTATTTGTTTCTCCTGATCTTTCATTTGCAACTGAATCTCTTTCGTTAATGTTGCCATATGGCTACTTTCACTATCAAACTTGTCTGACATAAAGTTGACCGATTCTTCAATTTCGTGATTTTTGTTTTCGAGTCTCCCAACTCTGGAATTTAAATTCTTAACAGATCTCTCCATTTCTACTAATTTTGCTTCAATAGTGTCTAATTTTGATAACTTACTTGTTATAATGTCTAGCTTTTTATTGGTTGATTCAGTTTGTTTCTGAAGCACTGCGAATTTAGTTGACACATCGATTAGCTCCGTCAGATTCTGCGATGCTGCTTTTGGGGTGGATGTAGCCATATCATCTGTCATAGTATCTGATTCTGTGGTTCCCGGCTCGCAGGGATCAGTGGTGTTGATTGTCTCTACTGGCGCTCCATACAAAACTTTGTTAACTTCGTTTATAACGCTACTGACCAATGGCGATAAACTGTTCTATGGGAGCATCTAACCCAGCAGATTGTTGTTTCCCAATACGCGTTGTACTTTATATCTAGTGCCAAACCAAAGTCATCTGAATATTCATGCACAAGGAATTGTAGATTACTAGTAAATTCTTCATTTAATTTATATAAACAAATACATACATACATACATACATACATATATATATATATATATATATATATATATATATATATATATATATATATATATATATATATATATATATATATATATATATATATATATATATAGTCGTCATTCTCCAAGGTCAATGTCATGAGGTCAAAAAAGAATGGTACCAAAGGAAAGGTCTTCTCACAAAGAATGCATGAGTTTCTGTAAATATGAAAGCAAAATCCGTTCAAAAGTTATGAGTAAGGTTAAAGTTTTTTTTTAAATGTAGGTCAAACTCCAAGGTCATGAGGTAAAAAATGTTGGTACCCAAAGAAAGGTCTTTGTATAAAGTATAAAGTATAAAGAAATACACCTGTGATATATCAAAGTCTTAGCACCACCGTTCAAAATGTATGGCCAAGGTTACAGTTTTTCAAAAGTTGGTCCAACTCAAAGGTCTAGGTCGAAAGGTCAAAATGTTGCTACCCAAAGAAAGGTCTAGACACACGGAATACACATATGAAATATAAAAGCCCTTGCTCCAACCGTTCAAAAGTTATGAACAAGGTTTAAAGTTTGGTAAATTTTGCAAAAGTGGGTCAAACTCCAAGGTCAATGTCAAAAAGTCAAATATGTTGGTACACAAAGAAAGGTTTTGCCACAAGGAATACACATGTGAAATATGAAAGCCCTACTACCAACTATTCAAAAGTTATGGGCAAGGTTAAAGTTTTTGTAGACAAGCTGATTAACAGACAAATACAGGCCCTAGCAACGATTTCAGAAAAAGGGGGGCAACTTCAAAAATTAATAAATAAATAAATAAACTGACCGGTTTTGCCACAAGGAATACACATGTGAAATATGAAAGCCCTACTACCAACTATTCAAAAGTTATGGGCAAGGTTAAAGTTGACAAGCTGATTAACAGTCAAATACAGGCCCTAGCAACGATTTCAAAAAAGGGGGGGCAACTTCAAAAATTAATAAATAAATAAATTAACTGACCAAAAGTGGAATTTACTATAGCGGGTCCTCCCCTGCACACCCCCCCCCCCCGCGTTCTACGGGCCTGGTATAGACAGACAGACGGACGAACAGACCAAAAACTATATGCCCCCGAATTTCCTATTACGGGGGCATACAATACTATAGCATTCAGCAACAGGAAGTGATGTGGCGTAAGGTTCAAGATGAAAATATATTTTTAATCGAATCAAAAAGTGAAGTGTATGATTCGAAATCTTTCTAAAATTTAAAACTTAAACATTTCTGGTAAAACACCATCAGATACGTATTGTATATTTTATTGACAAGATTCTAATAGTATCGGAGGAATCGTGTGCAGTGGAAGTGTATTTTCAAGTATCTAATGGTCTGAAAAATGCGAAGTATTTACTTTCGTGTGAATTTGAATACATTTTTAACAAAATAAATTCTAACAGTGTGACAGATTCGGGGTAATTATTTTTCATGTGCATTAGAAATACATTTTAAAACAAGTTTTCTCTTTTATTCATTTGTATGTTTTTATGCACTGATGGACATTTGAATATCCAACCGATAAAATATACGTAGACTAATAACAATGGGGGATATCATTGAAGCATCATTGAAGTTTTTAAAGATTATTTTAACAGTTTAAAAAAATTATCGCTAATCCAAAGTATTCTCCAATTGATTGAAGTTTTGAAACTTTTATATTCCTTGTGTTTCCTTGTTGTGAAAACCCAATGTATAACGCATTATGTTAAAACTATTTTTCAACATTAATATTTTAACCGAGCTAAAGTGAAGAACTTTAAGTGGCTGAACAATAATTAAAAAATATAAATCTCAAAAGTCCATGATTACACAAATTTTCCTTTTATTATTCTTTTTTTTAACGAAAATCAAAGGGGTGCTACCTTTTAACTCCCACCCACTCCCTCTTTAGATCCGCCACTGAGGTCAGGGTTACTCACGAGGAGTTCCGATGTAGAAAAGAGTCACGAAGAGCACAGAGTTTGTAAACACACACTGCAAAACACGTGTTTGAAGTTACCGGAAGAGTAGTTTCATAAGATCGAATTTGGGACATTGATTGCATCAATCTGCTTGAATTATTTGCTTTAAGTTTTTTTTTGTTGTGTAACTGCAGTATGTATAAATACCGAAAGTTAATCTGAGAGTCAGAAACGATTCAAAAGCTCGTAAGTATATCAGTGCATCTAGGTCTAATACTATTAATTAGTAATAGTATATAGTTATAGATACATTTTATAAAAAAAAATAATCATATTGATTTGAGATTTATAAAATATATCAGAAAGAGTTGATAAAACGTTTACTTTCTTTTTTTATGAAGAAGACATCAATTACCAAACCTAGCTATTCAGCAGGCCATCAATTTAGCGGACCATTTGAAGATTTTGTTTAGTTTTTATCTACCTCGCCCTCACTAAAGATGACCAGCATTCTGAAAACCATTGGCTCTGTCATTTCCTCCAAAGGCCTGGACAAACCAGTGTATGAGACCCTCAGTTCAGAGAAGGTAAAACTGCATTATAACATTTCACCTGAGATTAATTGCATTTTATTTAATTTTAAAGTGAACTAGCTCAGGTTTCATCCAAAGTGATTAGGTCACATTTTTCGGGAAGTTTCTAGTATGCCGGTCCCCAGAATCACGCGATTGCGCATGAGCAGTTATTTCCCTTGCCGTTACTATGCAGAATGTAAACAAACCGCCATTTTCCCCTCGCTTCAACAAAACGCATTCGATCGAGTGATTAGGGTTAGGGTATATTGTTTTAAGTTTGGAACTGTTTTATAAATCCACTCTTAAATCTTCCTGACTTTGGGCTAATTCATGTAATTTTTGCTTACAAAAGGCACTGCCAAGTGCCTTTTGTGACCAAAAACTTGCATGAATCAGCCTAATGTCGAACCGTGCCGATATACCGTCTTATAGGAGTAAAGCATGAAACATGCAAAACTTAAACCGTTAATTAAATATGGCATTGTATGCGATCTACGGTTTAGGGTTAGTGTATATATCGCTCGGATATTGTAACTGTTTTATATTCACCCATGCTCGCATCTATATCACTTTGGGCTTATTCATGCAATTTTTGCTTACAAAGAACCGAAGAACAGGAAAGTTTTGCGAAACTTGGATGAATTAGCGGTAATAGCCTTGGTCTGATGTTGAAACATGCCCGATATTGTGCGCTAAGTTTTGGCAAGTAATTGGTAAAAGCGACTTACCGTTTTCTTAAGCTCGATATCCTAACCTACTAATGTCCATATTCAGAATATTTTTTCTTTCAAATCAATGGTGATGCACAATTCAATCAACCAGTTACTAGTAATTAGTTATCACTTGTTAAATCCCTGCATTTCTCACAAAAATCTCGCAATTTTAGTAGCATTTCACTTTGAGTCCTATCAGCTAGGCCTACTTCTTCATCAGTCTTCATATTACGTCAAAACACAAGTGACGCACGTCATGAATATTTATGAGATTACGTCAAAAACTGATCATGTGACCACATTCCTAAACAACGCAAAATGGAGTTTTATCTACTAAACAAGTACGTTATTTTACGAAACCTTTTAATTCTCATTTAAAAAACTGTGTTTAAAAACCAGTTTTTTAAACCCAATTTTTCACAAGGAACACGATTTTTGGCTCAATTTTTCGATTTGTGGCCTTTTTTATCGATTTTGTCGATCGCTCACGCGATCGTATTATATTGTACACCGCCTTCGGCGGCACCTATTTTAGCGCCATATTTATAGGGACCGGTATACTAGAAGTGTCCCCATTTTTCTGGTAAATGTACATTAATTCTTGTATAGAGAAATTATTGTATATAATATAGTCTCAGCTGTCCGTACATTGTACTTAAGACATTTAATTTAATGTAATTGTAAGGCCATCTTTAAAATAATGTTTGTTTGCCCTCTCCCAACTCAGATAAAAAAAAAATAGGGTTGGAAGGTAGGTGGGAAAATTTTTTTTTTCCAGAAAATTTTATCATTCTTGTTGATGCGATAAGAAAATTCAGGAGAAAAAAGTATTATTTCCTCAGGTTAAAAAAAAGTTTTAAGTCTGACCATTTTAGCCAGTCGGTCGGGAGAGGGCAAACAAACAATTTTTTATAGATGGCATAACAGTATAAATTATTTTAAAAACATTCATATGATTATCAATTTATCATAACATATATATAGCCCCTCTGTCCATGCAATCATGTCCAGGCTATAACTTTGTTTGAAACATTGGAAGCTCGTACTTGGTACAAAGGTTGTTTATGTCTTCAGAGTGTGTCTCAATTTGACCCAAGGACATTTTGGGAAGTTCAAGGTCACTGGCAGAAAAAGTGTTAAATTTGTGCCTGGTCTATAACTTTGAATTCATATCGGGTCAATAATTTTCTAACAGAGAATATTGGATGTCCATATTTCACTCAAAGATTACTTGTGAGCATCGGATGTGTCAATTTAAAAAAAAAATTAAACGTAGGTCATTTTGGCAAGGTCAAGGTCACAATTACAAAATGGTGAATGGGCACTTTAATAAAAGAAAAATTTGCAAAGATGGGGGGGGGGGGGTTATAATTTAGTGAGCTTGCTCACAGTACCTCTAGTTGTGATACTGAATCAAAAGATTCTTGTTTTATAACTGAATTTAAATATAAAAAGGTATACGTATGGAATTTTTATCTCACTTGTTGCACAATTCTGTAGAGACTATGAAAAGAAGTGTTCACTTCAGCTTTCTGTTCTTAATAGATATAGATGAATGGTGATCATGTGAAATGATCAATCAAACAAATTGATTAAACCAGATGTCTTAATTAGTTTAACATTATAGTAAACATTAATTCTACTGAAAATGATAGTGCAAGATTGATAGTCATTGTAAGATTGGAGGTTAAATTTTGTCAAGTTTAGGATAAATTGTCATTTCTAGTGTCTTGAGAAGCGTAAATATCAAGCGGCCAAGTGGGTCAGCACCACAGTGCAGGGGATGAATCATGAAGAAGCCAGAAGTATAGGCTTCCAGAGGTTATTCCAATACATCACTGGAAACAACCAATCAGGTATCACACTTATACAATTTCTTTGTTACTGTAGGAGTATGAGTTGAGGCAGTACAGTCCGGCAAAATGGGTCAGTTATACAACAAAATCTATGAAGCAGGAAGAGGCACGAACTGAGGGGTTCTGGAAATTGTTTAATTACATTCAGGGGGAGAATGAGAAAGGTGACCCTGGCACACCTATAGTATTGCTTCTGTGTGTGTATGCTGGGTAGAGTGGGAATGGGGTTATATTTGCATGTTTTTCCTTTAAAGCTTAATACATAGAGACTAATCTGTATGTTATTACTAACCTTAAACATTTTGTTCTCTTCTCTTCATAATTATTTATTTGACATGAACCATGATTGGGTGTATTATATTCAATAATGAAAGGTTCTGAAAATTTGCAAAAAAAGTTCTTACATAAAATTGACATTAAAATGACATATCATATCAATTAACTGTTTTATTAAAGTTACTGGGCACAGAGATGAGAAAATCCTCTTTTGTTAAACATACATTGTTATTAGTTCAAGACATTTTTACTTCAATCACTAGAAAGCATAAGACTAGCATTTATTACCTGGCTTTATCATATGAGTGAACTGTGATACATTAAAAATATTCTAAATCTTTTGAAAAAAAAGCAGTGCTAATATACAATCATGTAAGATCATTTTTGAAAGTGTGGGGGATCATTGGAAACTTACCTAAAAAAAAAAAATGACAATCAAAAAAGAAAGAGAGAGAGATAAAAGAAAAAAGTTAAATTTTCCAAATTCGAAATTTTAATTTGTGTGTCCGGATGGCAGTTGGGAGATGGGTGAGGGTGGGGGTAACTTCAAATTTTCCTACATAAAGAAAAAAAATTATATCTTTCTATTAAATTAACTAGGGAGGATTTGACTATGCTGAAACAATCCTCATTTCAATGAACATTTTTAATACTAAAGTAACAGCAAACTGCATGCCTGATATACATTTTATGATGTAGCTTGCATTATTTTTTAAATCTGTCTATTATGCTCATATAACTCATATTTTCAATATTTTAATTTTTTCCATATTAATTTTATTATATTTATTTTTTTTTCCTGCTTCAGAAACCATAAGAATTTTTACACTAAAATTTTTACACTTGAATAAATATTAAAAAAACATTATTTGATTTAAAATATTTCCTTCTGTTTCAATTTTATGTTAATATTATTTTTACTAGAAACATGTTATATTTATCTATTTAATAAATTAAATTATCTATCCAACAGAAATGAAAATTGAGATGACAGCACCAGTTTCAACCAAAGTGGAACCAGGTGCAGGTCCGAATTGTGAGAGCAGTTTTACCGTGTCTTTTTACATCCCACCAGAGCACCAGGAAAACCCCCCTCAACCCAAAAACCCAAATGTTTTCATAGAGGAGAGACCTGAATTTGAAGCCTACGTTAAATCTTTTGGAGGATTTGCTAAAGAGGAATCATGGGTAAACGAAGCTCAAAAATTGTTGGAAGATTTGAAAGAGAAGACGAGCGAGATTCACCAGGATTACTGGTTCACAGCTGGTTATAACAGCCCATTTCAACTGTTTGGTAGAACCAATGAGGTCTGGTTTGTCAAGAAGTGATTTAGTGACAAAGTGAAAGTTAGAGTCTGTAACCTTGGTGCAATACGGGCGTGGCTTCACTGTATCAGGGTATAAAAAGTTACTGAAGAACGGGAATCACTCGGGAAAGTGGACTCAGGAATTTGATGATAATTTTTTGTTTACTTGTAGCATCAAGTTAGATACATGTATGATTCGAGTAGAAAATTGTACATTGGAGTAACATTCCATATATATATGTATAAGTGCTCAGCAGGTGTTAGTCATTTTTATACAAGTACTGTGCACCATGTTTTCTATTCCTAGTCCTCTGTATCTACTGCAACTTTTAAGGTTTTCATTTTAAAAGAATTCCTTATTTTTATATATGTACAATACTGATAAATAATAGAAGGCAGTAATCTGTGACATACATGTACCATTTTATGTCCGGGTCATTTATATTACCGCAAATCACTTTTTATTTGCGATAAATTCATTTTTCCAAAATATTCGAGACTCTCTGCTCACAAAACTTTCAATAATTTGCAATATTAAAGATCACATACAGTAATGATCAAGATTCTTGAGAATTTTGTCGTTTATAAATGCCAAATAATTATTATATTAAGATGTCGTGTACATTTAGTGATCTACAGTGCTCCTTAGGTACAGATGAACATTTACATGTAATATATTGATCAACCAGCATTATTATAAAATTCATTTTTGAAATCAAGTGCCATGATTCAAATAATTTATTTTTTATAAATTATAATGATAATAAATGTTAACAAAGCAAACAACATTGCAATTGTCTTACAGTCTATATATATGCATTGAGACAAATACCGGTTACTTAAAAATGCTTCTATAAACAATATATTTATAACTGGGTTTTTAGATAAATGAATTTGAAAACAAAAACAATGCAAGCACATTATGCATACATGCATGTTTTTTTTTTATCTATACATGATTCGAGTTCTAAGTCCAAGAAGAAATGTCTGTGAAGGCATTTGTCCCAGCCTGTGAGGTTTCCTCCCTATTGTACACATTATTTGTCCCAGCCTGTGAGGTTTCCTCCCTATTGTACACATTCTTTGTCTCAGCCTGTGAGGTTTCCTCCCTGTTGTACACATTCTTTGTCCCAGCCTGTGAGGTTTCCTCCCTATTATACACATTCTTTGTCCCAGCCTGTGAGGTTTCCTCCCTATTGTACACATTCTTTGTCCCAGCCTGTGAGGTTTCCTCCCTGTTGTACACATTCTTTGTCCAAGCCTGTGAGGTTTCCTCCCTATTGTACACATCATTTGTCCCAGCCTGTGAGGTTTCCTCCCTGTTGTACACATTCTTTGTCCAAGCCTGTGAGGTTTCCACCCTGTTGTACACATTCTTTGTCCAAGCCTGTGAGGTTTCCTCCCTATTGTACACATTCTTTGGTGCTTTGTTTATGCAGCATCTGGAGGAGAAATCCGAGCCAGTGTGAACTGTCTTCTGTAACGATTAGCAGCTCTTCTCACATTCTCAAGGTCCGGTGCAAGGAATCTCTGGTCTGGCTCAAAGTGTGCGAGAACAGTCTCCTTCACAATTTTCATGGCTGACTCAGTAGTGCGGTCCTTAATGGTCTCCTTCACTTTGGCGGATATTTCCCTGAGGTGGGGGAGGTGGGGATCAGGCATGTGAATGTGGTGGTTGCTGCCTGGTTTGAACATACCACCACACTGGATGACGGTAGCGTTACATGTGAATGAAGCTGATCGTTTACTACATCTCCATGTTGACGTTCTCTGGTTTTCCTTCTGAAATCAAGGAGATAATAATTACTATACTTGTACTGGATCATCTGAAGTTTAGGGAAATAAGAATTTATATACCTACAAATTGGAAGGATAATTTTTTATATTAATGTATTTTCAATAACAATAAATTTTAAAATGATTTTTAACATTTTTAACAGCATATGGCTAAGATTTCAAAGTTATAAGTTATTTCCCTTAGACTACATATTTTTCACAGAGCAACTTTAATCTCCTGTCTTTTCAGCTCCAAAGTGTACCTAAGTGTTCCTAAGTGCATTCATTGTCTCTCAATGGACAGGATTAAGAAACTTAGTCATCAAGATGTTAAGGGGTTGGTTTGAGTTTACATGGTTTTGGAAAAAAATAAAAATTCATTTTTGCTATATACCCAGTATGGGGTTTGTGTCCCAGTTTAAGTTTTAGGAGCAAGTCTCATTCTCAAGTTCCTACCTGGACCAAACTTGCATGGATCATGCATCATTGGATGTTTACTACCTGACTTGTTTCAGATGCTGGATTTGACCTAAATTTCCTGGATAAGAGAGCAGGTTTAAGTTTTTTTGGAACAAGTTCAGGTTTTTAGAGCAGGTTAAAGGTTTAGGGGCAGATTTCATTCCAAAGTAACTATAAGCCCTATGGTGCTAAACTTGCATTTAGGATGCATAAAGGGATGCAAATTACAAGACTGGCTTCAGATGCTGGATCTGACCTTCATTTATCATTGTGGGTGCATTCCCAAGTAACTTTTAAGTTTTACTTGGACCAAACTTACCATAACAGGCTTCTTTGGATGCTGAATTTGGTTTACATTTTTGAGTTGAATGAACAGGTTAACTTTTTAGAGCTGGTCCATTTCCATTTGTAACTATAAGCCCTATCATGGCGACTGAACTTGCATGCTACTAGATATACACACAACCAGATATGCTTTGAAAACTGGATCTGACCCACATTTGCAGGGTGATTGAACAGTTAAAGTTTTTGGATAAGGTCCACTTTAAAGTATCTATAGGTCCTACCTGGACCAAACTTGTATATATGTTGCATCTAGGGATGTACACAACCAGATTATTAGTTTAGTGTGAGATTTTGCCTTACTTATACATAACATTTGTCACAGTGAGCTCTGTAATCCTTAATTATCTATATTTTCAGTTTATACCTGCTAATTGTTCTAAACATTTTGATGTTGTTGATATATTATTTATGGTATGTCACCATTGTGTGCTTACTTTGAGAGTGTATGTGTAGCCATCAGATGACACCAGGAGACGCCCACCTAGCTGACTACCCTTCTCTAGAACCCTGAAGGTCACTGGAAGATCCTCAAAGACGGCACCATCTTCCTCACAACTAAGAAATAGAAATTGAGCATTAAAGATCTAATTACAAGTATATACAAACACTGTATGAAACAAATGACTAATTAAGGAACCAACCATTCTAAAAATTTAAAACTACATGTATTTTAAATTTCATTGGGTTTTGTTCTTGTTTCATTTTTCAATGAAATTTATATTTTCCATAAAATTGACTTACAGTTCTCGATAATTAAGTGGACCTCCCTGCTGGACATTGTCTCTGACATCAAAGGAATCATCAAGAATGTCATCATTTTCACTGTTGCCCGCTCTGTGGTGGGAGTGGTTTGCTATCACAGGACAAGCTGCTGACCCCATTTTCAATGTGTTGTCAACCTGTTCAAAACAAATCTGTTGTTTAAAAAATTGTCCAATTGAAAGTTATAAATTTAGGTCTCTTGTAACAAGGGCAGAAGAAGGTGCATTTCTCTACATAATAATTGAGATCCCAACATAACCATCCTATATTCTCAGACGGATTAATTTTGAGTTAATGAAACATCAAACATAAATTACTCTATCATTTAAACCAGTCTAACCTCACTTGGTTGGATTTTAAAGACTTTCAATTTCACTTCTGACCACCTCAAGTAGTTTTTTTCTATTAACATAGATGTCAATTTGTAAAAATCTTTTGATTCAATTTTCATCTTACCACTGATGCTGGATTCTCTCCCATCTTGACTTTTCTTCTGTAAAGATTAGCAGCTCTTTTCAGATTCTGGAGATCCAGAGCAAGGAATTTCTGATCTGGCCCAGAGTGTGCAGCAATGGTCTCCTTCACAATTTTCATGGCTGACTCGGTGGTGTTTTCCTTAATGGACTCCTTGACTTTGGCGGATATTTCCCTGAGGTGAGGGAGGTTTGGGTCTGGGATGTGAATGTGCTGGTTGCTGCCTGGTTTGAACAAAGCCCCACGCTGGATGATGATGGCGTGACAGGTGAATGACGCTGATCGCTTACTACATGTCCATATTGTACTTTTCAGGTTGTCTCTCTGCAATAAAGGTACTTTGATTATTTATTGTAATAAATTAACTTACTGACTCATTTATAGAGAGAAGATCTTTTTAAGGAGAGAAAAACAAACTGATCACTAAATTGAAACTTTTAATAATTAAAGTATAGCTTTTTGAAGAGACGTTGGCTTTCTTGGTTAAATTTGTGCTTCAGCAAATTGATATTAATTTATTGTGCATCTTTACAACATAATTAAATATAAATGTATAAAAAAGCATAAACTCCGATATTTTTGTGGATCAAAATAATATTAACAAAACAAAATAATATTTACATCAGTCTGCAAAAAAAAAAAAAAAAAGATCCTTTAGATTTTAATCTACAGAATAACCTTTCACCTTTGCGTACCTTGACGGTGTATGAGTAGCCATCAGAAGACACCAGGAGTCGTCCGCCCCTCTTACTGCCCTTCTCTAGGACCCTGAAGGTGACTGGATGATCTTCCAGGACAGCTCCATGTAATGTGATGTCATCTTCCTCACACCTAAGAAATAGACGTTAATTGTACTAGATGGCAGGACATGAATATACAAAACAGTCACCACAGGACACTAAAAGCAAAAACTTTCGTTAAAATAACTTAAAATTACAAGCCAGTGTCTTAAGCTTGTTTCTGAAATAAACTTAATTACATCAGTATTTATAATACTATGAGGGTAAACCATGCCCATTCTAGAGGGGGACAGGAATTCCGGACTCTCCCTCCCAGGATTTCAGTCGATAAATTTCTGTATAAAATTAACCAAGGAATGGCCTTTGACACCCCCCTACCCTTTTCTAATCTACAAAACACAGAGCCGTAGTCATACATAAGAAGAAAACTTGTCATATCCATCCCCCATCCTTAATCCACGAAATAGTTTAAATCTTCAGGTTTTATGAAGTTGGAGAATTCTGAGTCGGATTTTTTTTGTGTGTCACCTGTGCCCCCCCTCCCCCCCCCCCCCCCCCCCACACACACACACACACACAAAAATCCTGGAGCCGTGCATGTAATATTTTATTTCAGAAACAAGTCAGTGCGAATGTCTTGTTCCTTTTCTAATAATTTCAATTTCATTATTCATTTTAGCTTTGAGAGTTGAGGAATCATATGTCTATTTGATTGTCACACCTTATGATAAGTGCTTGATATATGGTTTCTACATTCCATAAAACGACTTCACGTACCTTTCTCTATGGAACACAGGAATGTCCTTCTGGATGTCGTCTCTGACGTCAAAGGAAACATCGAGGATGTCATCTTGGCTGTTGCCCGCTCTGTCGTGAGTGTGGTGTGCAAACACAGGATGAGGTTTGAATGTGTTGTCAACCTGTGGTAAAAATGAATCTTTTAAAATACAAATGATCAATAAAAATTTTAGCTAATGCATTTTGTAGTAATGTCAGATTTAGAATATGTCCATTCTGATAGAAATTTGAACACTTTTAGTCGCTGATAATTAATCATGCGTTACTTAAAAAATATCGAATGGTATTATTAGATCTACTAACGTTTTATATGTATTAAAACCTCCTCAGATTTTGTTTAAAATAATAATAGTGCAATAAATAATAATAAAAACGGCTTTTTATTTTCATAAAATATTGCAGGACATTAATTTATATACAT